AGAAAATCAGTAAATAAAGATTTGGTCTTTGGGATTTTTTTAGAAAGTGTTGGACCTATATCGATAAAAAATTTGTTAAATTCTTGAGCTATAGTTCTTGGTTCGTATAAACTTTTGTTATCTACTCAAACCATTTGTGGCAGAAAACCTGAGCATGATTTTTGTTTTCCAATAATTTCATTCATTATTTGCCATGTGCGTTTTGTGTCATTTTTAAATGTATTGAGTAATTGGGAGTAATAATTTTTTTTTAGATTTTTGCGAACTTTTTCAAATTGATTTTTGTAGTCCTTGTAAATTTTCTCGTTTTTAGGTGTTTTTGTTTTCAAAAAATTTATATATAGTTTTTGTTTAATTTTGGACGATTTTTTAAAGCCCTTAGTGATCCAGGGTGTATTGCAGCTCTTAGTAGTTATTTTATTTTCAATGATTGGGAAATTAGCATCGTACACAAAAAAAATGTTTTGAAAAAAGACTCATAGATATTGTTAGCATTATCATTAAAATTTATGTTATTCCAGTGCAGTAATGAATGTTGATTTTTAAATAAATTAAGGTTAGCCTCATTATAAATGCGTTTTCGAATTACTCTTTGTGCGGTTAAAGTTTTTTCAGAGTTTGTATTATCTAATTTTAGGAATATAGGGAAATGATCTGATATATCGGTTCGCAAAATACCTACTTTTAAATCATTGTTGAAAATATCTGAAGTTATTATATTATCTATTAGAGTTGTTGAATTTATCGTTACTCATGTAGGTTTGTTTATTAAAGATATTGAACCCGTTTCAAAAATTTCATCATAAAATTTTTAACTTTAAGGTTATCATTATAAAGAAAACAATTCATGTTTAAATCTCCAATTATAAAATTTTGCTTTTTTTCAACGGTAAAAAGTGCGTCCGTTCTTATTGAAAGCTAGAGTTGAAATATATAATAACGATAATATATAATAATATATATAATAAATATATAATAAATAATATATAATAAATATATAATAACGATAAGCCTCAGGACACCACTTCAAAGTTAAAATCGCTCATGAAGAAACTATTTTAATTTCATAAAATTTTTCAGGATGTATTTTTGGATTGTTTAGAAAATATCTCCATAATTCCAAACACTTAAATCCAAAAAAAGTTGTAATTCGACCTGCCCTAGCCGGGAGTACCTTAATTAGACCAAAAACTATGTGCAAAGTTTGAAAATTGCAAGTCTTTCCAACTTTATCTTTAATTTTTTACATTTAATTACATTCAAGTGAGTTATAATTAATGAATTTTTAAAATGAGTGTTGGTGTAAAACATTTTCCCGCGTATTTTTATGTATAATAAAACGGTCCTGGAAGAATGGGTAACTTTACATAAAAGCCATATAATAAGTTGAACTTATGTAAATAAAAAAATAAAAAAAAACGTAGTTGCAACTAAGTTTAAGTTTTTAGCTTGGAAACATTAACTTAATGCAGAAAAAAATTATAAAACGCTGGAAAGTTTTAGTTTTGCTAACATTTAATTTATATGATATATATATATATATATATATATATATATATATATATATACATATATATATATATATATATATATATATATATATATATATATATATATATATATATATATATATATATATATATATATATATATATATATATATATATATATATATATATATATATATATATATATATATATATATATATATATATAAAGAGTTTTGATTATTTGAAAAAATACAACTTTGTGACGGAACTTTTTTTATAAGATCTATTTGATCGTTTTCAAATGTAGACATATCAGAAATTAGTTTGGGATAACTTGATGTTTTTATGCCGTAATTGTTATAAAAAATATTTTCCTTACTTTTTGATCTTTATTAAGAAAGAAGAAAGCTTTCCATCTCATTCTTTTAATTAGCGCTTCGGTTTTATCGAGTAATTGTATTTATTGTTCTTTATTGATAGAATTGGAATACTCTTGATTGAATAATTCAAGTTAGTATTTTTCATTGCGTATACGACTTGAGAAGAGTGCTCGACGTATGGAGCTAATTGATGTTGTTTTATAGTACCAAATTATGATACAAAGTCTCTTGTTTGTTTGAGAGTGATCAATATTAAGTAAATTGTTCACTAAATAGATCAATATTATTATATAAAGAGTTTTGATTATTTGAAAAAATACAACTTTGTGATGGAACTTAAAGTATCATGCCCTTCGGCAATCATCAGCCATATATTTTATATATATATATATATATATATATATATATATATATATATATATATATATATATATATATATATATATATATATATATATATATATATATATATATATATATATATATATATATATATATATATATATATATATATATATATATATATATACACTTAATGTTCTTAAAGAACAGAGCAATAATAAGTTAGTAAAACACTTATCTAATTTTATCTTCGACAATTTGTTTCACCATTAGCAGAATCATCAGATCTTCCTGATAATCTAACTGATTGAAATTGAAATGATGATCTAACTGATAATCTAACTGATTAAGGATGAAATTTGAAATGTCTTACTTATTGATATAAGATGTCATAAAATGTCTTACTTATTGATATAAGATGTCAAAGTTTTACTTACTATTGGGAGAAAAATTGAGAATTAAATCTGAAGTATATGTTATCTTCCTATTTATTAGATTTACAAAAAAAAATTAATATAAAGTCCAATTAGATTAGTTTATAATTCACTTGCCTATTATTAACCCTTAGAGACAATAACCATCATACATATTATTGGCATTCTACTTAACGACAACTAATTAAAAATGTCTAATGATGCATAAAATGTGGAAAAGCTTTTTCCACATTTTATGCATCATTAGGCATTAGTTTTTGACATTACTTTTAACTCCCCTCATAAAAATTCAATAAGAAAGAGAACTTGTGATTGGTGCTAAATCATTTTACAAATATTTATTATTTGATTATTCTCCAATTCAGTCAAAAAACTTGTACAATGTTCTTAAGAATATGTCTTGGATTTAAGCTTAATGTTATTTTCTTCTAAAAAAATAAACAGCTTTCCATTAACCCAATTTTCCGGAGGTATAGCATGACTTTTTAAGTGTCCAAATAAACTACTTTTGTCATTTTCTTTCTATTTTTACAATGTCACCTGTGGCATTCCAACCAAAACAGCCCTAGACCTTAATACTACATCCACTATATGTTACAGTCACTATATGCACACTATTTTATCATACATTAAATGCACACTATTTTATTATACATTCTACGATTTTTTTTTCAAAAATATATGCTATATCAAAACATCTAAAAATGTTCGCTCTAAACGTACTAATTTAATAAAATCTTTGTATACCACAAGCTTGTTCTAATCGAATTGTCAGAATAATACCGTAATATCAAACTGAGTTGATTTTGAGATGTTATTGCTTTGCAACGATAAACACATGGAGAGTAAGGGAGGGTGGGGGGCAGAGGACATATTGTCCTAGGGAACGGCTATGCACGAGGACCAGGACTTATGAGTTATAAAATATTGTACTCATATTTTGCTTGTGACTTTATTGATCAAAACACATTTTCAACATTTGTATCACAGTAAACCCCAAGTTTAAATTGCAAGCAGTATAAATATTTATTTAAAACTTTATAAAATATTTATTAAAAATTTATAATATTATAACTTTATAAATATTTATTAAAACTTTATAAAATAAATTATTTGGAAATAATTCAAAAATGAAAAAATTAAAGAAAAACAATTGTAGTAATTTATACAATTGTGTAAACTACTTTGTGTGCATTACTTGGAAGCATTTATGACGACGTTTGTTATATGCGGTACTTTAATTCAGTTGCGGAGTGAAGTCCTAAATTTGCTCATCAAGAGTTGAATATTTTAGAGTCACCTATTTTAAATAAAAAATTAAAAAAAAAAATAGTCAAATATTTTTCTTTAAATAGGGACTCCATACTGAAGCGCAAAATACAAGCTTGCGTAGCACAGTGGTTCAAGATCCTTAAAAAGTGGCAAAAAAGGAAAAAAATTAAAGTCTTTAGTTTGTAAACACAAATAACTTTTAATTATGGTAAGACCAGATGCATAACAATTTAAAACTTTTTTTGAAGCTATTGCAAGGTTGTGTATTAATTTGAAGCACTTTACTAATGCTTTTTTTATGACGAAAAAAAAACGGAAATGTTCGATAAAATAGTCAGTTTTAGATATTTATTTTATGGAGACATAGTAGTTAAAGTTTTAGTATTTTTTATTAATTTACTTAAATTGTGTCAATTCACAATGTAAATGAAAGATTTTTTTTTAAGTTTATTAGGTTTAAGCCATTACTCAGCATGAAGAAAAATATTTGTTAAAAATTTTTTTTTTATTAGTAACACATTATTTATGGTACAAGAACAAAAATGTTCCACATAACTCCACGCTTATGTTAGTGTTTTTGAGTACTGTCAGCAATATACTATTTAATGGAATAAAATTTACCTGCTCCAATTTGCTCCAATCTAAAATAGAGCTTTTATGATTTACTTGCTAAATATTATAATCAGCGAGTATATGATAAAAGGTTGGAGCAAATTGAAGAAAGTAAATTTTATTTAATTATTTTAAATATAAGCTCTTTTAAAAAAAGAGTATCAGCGTTACCTAATATTTTTAGTTTGTATATATATATATATATATATATATATATATATATATATATATATATATATATATATATATATATATATATATATATATATATATATATATATATATTTTTTTTTCATTTTGATGAGTTTTTATTGATGAAACACAGTGTAAAATATAAAAAAATTTGATTAGTAATTTTTTACTAATTTATATATACATATGGACTTTCAAAATACTTGTAGCTATTAAGTTATAATGTAAATGACAATAAGATTGTTAAACTATTGATAACTTTTTGTGTGTTATGTAATAGATAATATATAAAAATGAAAAGAATTGATCTTCTTCAAAAAATTAAAGGACTAGGTTTCAATAAAGTTAATTTGCTGGAATCTTTGTTTAAAGAAGTTTTAAATGTTTATAATCTTCATGAAGATGACTTCAATAAATCAGAGCTTACCAACTTAAAGAATAAGTTGTCTGTTTTTAAAGCAAAAGTGGGAAATAAGTTAGAAAAGCATAATAGAAACTATGACAGATTGATTTTAAAAGAGGGTGTTTGGCTACAGGTAAAGAAACAATAATATTTCTTAATAAATTTTTTTTATGCACTCATTTTATTTAATTAAGTTTCTATTTACAGGAGGAGTTTTTTCCAGATCTTGTTAAAAGAATTAAATCTAAAGAAGGTCCAGGTAGAAAAAATAAAGTTTGGGAAAATCTTGGTGAAAGAAGCAAAAGAGCTAAAATTGCCCATTTGGCTGAAAACAATCACGAAGCATTGGCTTTAGCTTCTTTAAAAAGTGCTGCAACTGAATCCAACATTAATAAAAACAATTTTATCTTTATAGTAAAGAAGGCTTTGGACCCAGATAAAGCAAATGAAATTAGAAAAAACATGTCTATGCATGAACCTGTTAAAATGAAAGTTGAAGATGCTCTCAGCCTAAAAATTCAATGTGATCTGTCCGATGAACAATATCAGATAATCAGAAATAGCTCCCTATTACAAAATGCAAACATCTATCTGTCTCTTCATAAAATTTTAACTGAAAAAAAGAAATGCTATCCTGATAATATGATTTTTTCAGAAACATCTGCAGTTTGCTCCCTTCAACCTCTTTTTAATCACACACTGTGTAGAGTCTTGAGTCTAAATAGTTGCAACAAAATATTTTCTGAATTATCGGTTAAAGATATCAATCAACATGGAATTATGCATTTCAAAGGTGGTTTTGATGGAGCGTCTAGCCAGAGTCTGTATAAACAAAAATATTTAGATACAACTCTAGATGAAGTTATTAAAAATGAAGAGAGTATTTTTCAAACATCTATTGTGCCTCTTAAACTGACTGTTAATGATACAGTAATCTGGTACAACAAAAAACCATCTAGTACACATTTCTGCAGACCAGTATGTTTGCAGTACAAGAAGGAAACAAATGTGCTAATTAAAGAAGAAGAAGAACGATTACGGATTGAAATTCAGAAACTTGAACCATTTGTAGTAAGTTTAGAATCAAAACCGACTGAGTCATCTATGATGACAGCAATTATAAAGTATAATTTGGATTTGACTATGTTTGATGGTAAGGTTATTAATGCACTAACAAGTACTACCTCTTCTCAAAGCTGTAATGTATGTTCAGCAAAGCCAACAGAGATGAATGACATTAAATTGATTAGATCTAAACCTGTCAATAAAGAAGCTTTATTTTTTGGCCTTTCACCTCTTCACTGTTGGATAAGATGCTTTGAGTACATTCTTCACCTTGGATATAAATTGAAAATTAGGTCATTTTATGCTAAAACATCTGAGCAGAAAGAATCAGTTAAAGAAAGAAAAGCATTTATTCAAAAGAAGTTTAGGGAAGAACTAAGTCTTATTGTTGACATGCCAAAACAAGGTTTTGGAAACACTAATGATGGTAATACTGCCAGAAGAGCCTTTGAGGAATCGATTACCTTCTCTGAGATAACTGGTGTAGATGTTGACATCATTTCTAGACTTGAAACAATTTTAAAAGCAGTTTGTTCAGGATATGATTTAGATCCAAGCTCTTTTCAAAGTTATTGCAATGATACAACAGATAAAATTCTTTCTGAATATAATTGGTATGTTATTCCTCCAAGCGTTCACAAACTTTTAGAACATGGTTTACAGATTGCCAATGCATTAGAACTTCCCATTGGAGTTTATTCAGAAGAATCACTAGAGGCTCTTAACAAAGAGATTAGAAATACAAGATTAAACCATTCATGCAAAATTTCAAGGATAAATGTTATGAAAAACCAATTTAACTATCTTATGATAAGGAGTGATCCAGTTATATCGAGCATTCAATTCACTAACCATAGATGTGAAAATGGGAAATTGCTCCCAATAGAAGTTCTTTCTCTTCTTAAACAGTCGTGATTTTTTTGAGAATTTTATTTTTTATAGATAAATTTGCATCAAAAATTTAAATTTAGAATAGTTATAATAGTAATTTTCAAAGTATATTCTAATTCTCAGAGTATAACTATTATATGCTCTTTGTTGATGTCTGAATTTTTTTTTAATTATCATTCTTTCAATCATTGTTTTTATCAAAAGAGGAGGGTATTAATTGATGAAATAAATTTGAAATAATTAAAAATAAATTATTTTATGAACTAAAATTTGAAATAGTTATTATAGTAATGCTCAATGAATTTTATTGTATTCTTTTTGTTGAGGAATGAATTTTTTTATTTATTTTTTTAAAGTTCTTTTAATCATTGTTTTTAACAAAAGGGGAGGGGCCCGGTAATAATTATGACAAATTTGGATGGTAGTGTACCGAGTGATCACGCCTGATTACAAGTTGGAGAGAGTTAAAAAAAGATTTAAAAATAAATTATGTATTTATGCAAACTATTACTTGATTCGAAGTTAAATTAAAAAAAAAAATCTGCTTGCGCGTATCAAATTTCTTACGTACGTATTTTTTAGATACGCGCACGTTTTGCTGGTTGTTGCGCGTAAAAATAATTTAAAAATACGTAATTGATCTTTTGACTAAAAAAATAATAACTATTTCTTTAATACATATTAACATGCGATGGTTATATAATTTTTGCCGTTTTTTCTTCAATTTGAGTCACTGTGCGTAGGGGAGATGGGGGCGCATTGATCGCCGAGGCAGTATGATCTTTTAGCTTTTACTCGTTTACTTTTGCCTTAATTTAACAGAGATTGCAATTTAATTAACCATTATACTACCCTTCTTTGCTTAATCGTAATAATTTTTGATAAGATCAACTTCAGCGTTAAGAAAATTGAAAAGACTGTTTTTCATCATGAAAAGTGATTTTTGAAAGTTGTAAACAAATTCAAATAAATTTTTAATTAGATTTCCGTATAAATTTACAACCAATTTTATTGTAAACTCATATGTGTTAAGTTTATATATTTGTTTTTTGAGTTGGTTACTGTATTTATAGAAGTTATTGGCATCAATATAATTCAACTGTACCTAATGGGGCACATTGATCGTTGACTATGCGGGGCTCATTGCTCGGAGGATCAAAGTGCCCCATATAACTTATATTATGACTTAAATTTTTTGTTTAAATTTTATACATTTAAACTTATGGCGAATAAAAAATCTTTATATAAACTTTTAAAATTTCATTTTTAAAATGTAATGGTGTTAAAAACTATTATTAATAACATTAGTTTTAAGTTTTACATAAGTTTTACAATTAGTTTACATAATATTATTATACAAAATATTTTTTTTAAACAATCATTTTATTTTACTTTTTTTTAAATTTTCAGATCTTTAAATGGTTAGGTATAGAAAAAAAAAACAGACAGAGTTGCTATATCATGTGATACAATGAAATCAGCTGTTAATGAAGTTTTAGAGGGCAGACCAGTGAATGTTGTAGCTCGCAAGTTTAGCATAAATCGAATGACCTTAAAAAGATATTATAATAAAAAGAAGCTCAACCCAAATGAATCTTTTATGCCTAATTACAACAATAAATAAGTTTTTACTGCAGAAGATGAAAAAAGTTTGTCAAGTTATTTACTACTTGCATCAAAAATGAACTATGGACTTTCAACTAAGTCAACACAATTATTGGCATACGAGTTTGCTGTAAAAAATAATAAGATTTGCCCTTCATCATGGATCAAGAATAAAATTGCAGGGATTGATTGGTTGCAAGGTTTTATGAAAAGACAACCAGAGTTGTCTTTACGAACACCTGAAGCAACTAGCTTTGCTCGATCAACTGCCTTTAACTGACACACTGTTGGAGAACTTTTCCAAAATCTAAAAACAGTAAGAAATCGATATAAGTTTGATCCTTATTGCATATATAATGTTGATGAAACTGGTTTAACAACAGTACAAAAGCCAGTAAAAGTGTTAGCAGGTAAAGAAGTAAACAAGTAGGAAGAATCACATCTGCAGAACGAGGAACATTAGTAACTCTATGTTGTGCTTCAAATGCAATTGGAAACTCTATTCCTCCACTATTTGTTTTTCCTAGAGTCAAATTTCATGATTACATGATAAAGGAAGGTCCTCCTTGATGTGTGGGATTTGCAAATCCTTCTGGTTGGGTGAATTCAGACATTTTTATAGAATGGATAAAACATTTTGTGAGGTATTCAAACTGTTCTCATGAATCTCCAGTTTTGTTACTTCTGGACAGCCATAAAAGTCATATTTCTGTTAGAGCTTTGGATCTTGCAATTCAACATGGAATTACAATGCTAAGTTTTCCTACCCATTGTACCCATAAATTGCAACCATTGGATAGAACTGTTTTTGGACCATTGAAAAGGTTTTACAATGCTGCGTGCGATAATTGGATGGTCACAAATCCAAGACCTATGACCATTTATGATATTGTTTCAATAGTTCGTGAACCATATACAAAAACTTTCTCACCATCTAATATACAGAGAGGATTTCAAGTAGCTGGCATTGAGCCATTTAATCCAGAAATTTTTAAAGATGATGAACATTTACCATCATCAGTTACAGATCGTGCTGCTCCAAATATAGTAAACACAATTCTTGTGGAACCTGAAATGACTGTAGCACATGTTGATGGCATGGAGCCTGAAATGCCTGTAGTACATCATGAAAAAAGTTTTGAAACCTTACCCGAAAGCATCTGCTAGAAAAAAAAGTGTTAAAAGTCGGCAATTAAAAACAAGGATTTTGACTGATACTCCAATCAGAAATGAAATTCGTTTGTCAGAAGAAAAGAAAACCCTAAAACAAATCAACCAACAAAAGAAACTCATCGTAAAAAATAAAAAATAGGGAAAAGTTAAAAACTACTTGTTTAGGAACAAAAAACAATGTAATGTAAAAACAGCATCACGACTTGACTTTGACAAAGGATGATAATATAAAAAAATAATCTTGTAAACTTTAGTTCTAATAAAAGTCTTGTATGAATCTTGCATTTTCTTTGTAAACTTAAAATACTGTATTCTTATAGACTTTATAAGCTTCAAGTTTTGTAAAACTTAACACATATATATGTTAGTAGTATATAACGGGCTTATTTTCATAGATAGAATTGTGGTTATTCTTCTAATGTAAACTTTATACACTGGTGTGTATTAGGTTGTAATGATATATATATATATATATATATATATATATATATATATATATATATATATATATATATATATATATATGTTTAAAATTTTTTTTTTTTTTAGATGTATTATATAATATACACTAATACCCTTCAACTAATGCGTTTGTAGCACTTAGGTATAGCAGTATTAAACATGTAAATAATGTTACTCATATAAGATCAAAGCGTCCCATATCGGAGATCATAGTACCCCATTGCATGGGGTACATTGATCTTTTGCAAGGGTTGTTGTAATGTTGAAATATACCATGTTCATTAATGTTTTTTATTAAAACATTTATTTTTACTTAAAGACAGATTGTTCTAGTTTAGTTTAGTAATTAATAAGTTTTTATATCTAGATCGGCTTGTTTGCAGTTTTCAAAATACTGCAACGGCGATCAATGCGCCACCATCTCCCTATATAGGTTGTGTATAGTTTTATAAACACAATTGTATTCCAATTTATAAAAGTTCTTTTAAGAATATTAACTATCTAGTTAGCTTTTATTGCTGCATTATTTATTTGATCACTTGAAACTATAAAACCATAAAATTTCATAACTCTGCATTTAATTTATATTGAACTTCATGATCCAAAGTTTAAACCAATCTATTAAAACATCCATATTCTTTTTCATTTATCTAGATTAGATAAGCATTTGATTTTTACCATTAGTCGAGCAGTGATCATTAAGAGCAGTGTCTTCTCAAGATTAGTCGCACACAATTTCGCGTGCGACTAATCTTTGAATTGGAACAATTTTCGAAAATCCAAATTGATAACAGTATAATAAATTATGAGCAAAAAAAAACCTATTTAAGAAAATTTTTTTTAAAAAAAGTTTAAAAACAAGTTTTTTGAAAAAAAACATAACTTGTTATCCAAAGTAACTTTTCCAAAACCTTACCAACAACAGAAGTAAGCAAAATAGGTCGATAGTTTTCCGGATCTGTACGAGGACCTTTTTGGTGAACGTGCGAGATATTTGTAAGTTTCCAACATGATAACACTTGACCAGATATTATGGAGCATTTAAATATTAGTAAAAATGGTCAACTGAAACTAGCTGAATAACTTTTTAAAACATAAGCGTGTGTACCATCAATACCCGTCAATATCAATACCCGTCAATATCAATACCCGTCATCCTTTGAAGTATCAAGATAATAAAGCTTTTAAACTTTTTCTAGAAATTAGGGATCTAACATTTGGAGAACAGATTGAATTAGTTTTAATATTGAACACTGGTAAGCTTAGGTTACTAATGATAGAAGGAATGATTTAAAACGCTTTGAAAAGATAAAAATGGAAACAACCTGTATTGGATTTTTTTATCTTCTAGTTGATTACCATTTAAGTCAAAAAGAGATTGAACTTTACTTTCAAAAGATTTTTGACTGTTCACATATGAATAGAGCTATTATGGATTGGACTTAAAATTTGAGATAATGTAACTCTCATATTTATCGATACCGGCTGTAACTAGTTTTTTGACGGTACGAATTTGTTTATTATTGAGAACGCGTATAATATCTTTATGTTTTGTTGAAACGCTCTAGAGTAACGAAATTTTTCTCTGCAAACTTCTTTAATTACAGAATTATACCATTTAGGACTATATTTATTTTATCAAAATCTAATGTTACATTTAAGGATATATAAATCACACAGTTTAATGTATTCTAGACGGAAAAATTTGAAACATTTCTTAGTTGACTTGTAATATGAAAGTTAAATTTTTAGAAGTTTTTTTTTAGGCTATTTTTCCATTACTATTTTCTTCTTTAGTTACCATTTTTTATTTTGGTTACTAAGCTTTTTATCTTTTCGTTTGACCTATTATACAGTTACGTTCATCCCCTGAAAGTTTTCTTATTATGTAAAATCATGTTCATTGGGTTTAGGATTTAAGGTTAAAGTTTCTAAAAATAAAACTTTTTTTTCTCAGTTTAAACATTTTTGTGGGTAGTATCATTGTGTAGAAGCCCTTGACAAAAGCATTTTTCCCATTTGATTGAAATTTTAAACATACATCTACATAGATATTTTAAACATACATCTACATAGATATTTTAAACATACATCTACATAGATATTTAGCATGAGATGTAGGAAGCAGATTTTGATTTTTTTTTAACTTAAAATGATTTGTTTAAATTCATATTAGAATTATACACACATATTAGAATTATACAACGATTTCAATCTATTTGATTTCGCCAGAATGGATAACCCAATATTTTTTTTTATCTTTTAACAACTCCAAGGACTATTTAAATAGCTTTTATTGGTGTTCTTTAGACACCACACACTGAACAACACTATGATAATTTATTTGTTCCAGATAATGTCGCTTGAACCTTTTCATCAAATATTTTAAATTCAAAAGAATTTACAATGATTGATGGGAATACAATTCACTTCAAAAGGAAGTCTAGCAACCAAATCAAAACTTATAAAATCAACGACAGTCAATACAAGAAATCAACGAAAACTCAATTTAAACATCATATTATACAGCACATCTAAATATATGCCAATCATTAGCAAAAAAGAAATATATTTTCTTTTTTTTTTCAAATCTGTGGTCTTCAAAGTATTACTGAGATAACATGGTATGACAAACTTATGCAACAAAATGAATTTTCTCATCTCTGAATACTCTATAATAACATGTACCAATTTGGTGTTTTGACAACACAGATATAATTGAAGTATCACAACGTTGATCTCACCGAAATTATTTATATATATAATTTTTATTTTTCTACAATTTTCAATACTCAAATACTCGTAATCATAGTAACTAAGGGATAAATATTAACTAAGTAACATAGTAACTAAGGGATATAAATATTTTTAAATAATAAATTTCTCTTAATTTATAAACTAAAATTGAATAAGTTTTTGAGTTTAAACAACTAAAAACTTTCTCATTTTTTCCACCGCTGACTTCGGACTTTTTCTAAACACTTCAAAAAATAACGTTTTCATATTTTAGGAGCTAATAATCTACTAAATTCTAACGTTTAAATTTTCATATTTTAAATTTTAACATTTTCATATTTTGACAGCTAATAATCAATTATGACTTTTTTTATAGATTATTTATTTTATAAATGTTAATACATTTATATTTGTAATATAGTTAAGTTAAAATAAACTATAAATATTACAATAAAACTCTTTTTTATGGATTTTATATTTATTCTTTTTTATTTACAACTTAACAATTAAAATTAACACATAAAGTTTTATTAATAAAAAGAGGTTTTATATTTTTAAAGGTTTTTTATTATCATAAAACAAGCTACTATTAAGTTCAGCATTATTATAGAGAAGATTCTATAGAGATATATTATATTTTTAAAATTTATATCTTAACTTACTATATTAAATATTTTTACCTTAACTAAATATTCTTCAAATGTAAAAGTTTAAACATTTATGTAACATTTTTTTTTTATATAAGTTATTTAGAAAACATTTACGTCATACGACATAAATACGATCTTACAAACCATTCTCAAACCAAATAACAATTGAATAAACTGCACCAATTTATATTTTTTGTTGACTCGGTACTATTTATTTTTTTGACTCGGTTTTATTTTTTTGGTCCGGTACTACTCTTTATTGATTCGGTATTATTTTTGGAAAGGTTTCAGATTTGAAATATCAATGATTAAAATATTAGTTAATAATATAAAAATTTTTACAAATGTGAAACATCATTTTGAATAAATGACCAAAATGTTTTGATAAATAGTTCAGAAATTTTTAAATATGAACAAATGAAAATCTAAAAAATAATTTTATGAATCATCAAAAAGTTCTAATGAAACTTTAATAAATACATTGTAATATAAATACAATTTAAATAACCAAAATAATAAATACATAATAACATAAATACATTAATAAGTAACAACCCATGAGTGATCACGTTTCAACATGAACTCAAAATAAATGTGCTTAAACAGTTATAAAAAGAAGAAGTAAAAAAATTCAGAAGTTTTTAAAAAATTTCATCTAAATTGTCAACAAGTCGACTCTTTAATTCAAAAAGTAGTTTTTTTCTAAAACACATCTAGGACAACCCTAATTCATCTAACACGTTTTTCAGAGTAGGTATTTCGCCATCCTATAAAAAATTGTTTTATAATTTATATATATATATATATATATATATATATATATATATATATATATACAGTCATGTGCATGAAAATAGCAGTGGCACAAAAAATTATAAAAAAACCTTATTAAATTTAATGATATGCATAATTTCGGACCGTAATTGTTAATTTTTCATAATTAAGTGTTATCTGACACTATTTAGTCTAAAAAAAGCTTTTAAACTTAAATGGACAATATCATACTACCATTTTTTTAAAAAAGGTACTTTTATCACATTTAATGAATGCAGATTTACCATTAAAAAAGTAAAAATATAACATTAATGAAAAACTATTTATTCATCTTTTGAAAATACATCTAATACTTAGTTCCATGACCCTTATTTTTCAATACTGCATTACATCTTCGTGGCATTGACTCGATTAGATGACGACATCTTTCTAAGGGAATAGCTCTCCAAGCTGCTTCAACTGCTCTCCAGAGTTCCTCTTTATTGGCTGGTCTAGACAAAGATACTGCTCTTTTAACATCCCCCCACAGGTTTTCTATCGGGTTCAGGTCTGGGGATTGTGCTGGCCAGTTCATTACCTCAACCTTATTCTCTACAAACCAATTTTTAGCTTTACGAGAGGTGCGTTTAGGATCATTATCCTGCATAAAGATCCACTTCAAAGGCATTTCTTCTTTTGCATATGGTAACATGACTTCTTGCAGTATTTTAACATAAGCAGTTGCATCCATGATGTCTTTGATCCAAAAAATAGGGCCCAATCTAAACCAAGAAAAACAACCCCATGCCATCACCTGGCAGCCACCATGTTTTATTGTCTTGGTGGTATACTTTATATTATATTCTGTTCGTGGGGGTCTTCGTACAAACTTTTCGTGAATACCTGGATTAAATAAAACAATTTTAGTCTCATCACTTCAAAGAATATTACGCCATTTCGATGATGGCCATTCTTGATGCTCTTTAGCAAATGCAATTCGATTTTTAATCTGTCTCTTATTTAGAAGTGGAGTTTTTCTGGGCCTTCTGGCTTTTAAATTGGCTTTTATCAAACGTCTTCTCACTGTCGAGGACGATATTGGTAAATTTAATTCCGTTTTTATGGCTGTGGAACTCATAAAAGGATTTATCTTCGCACATCTAATAATTTTACGGTTCGTTTTCAATGACGTTTTAAATTTTCCCCCACGCAATTCCGCTTTTTGTGTCCATTTTTTGGCATTGGAAATCATTTTTGCAGAACATTGTAAAGCATCTTGGATGAATTTGTAAGTTTTACCATCTTTTAACATATTTAAAATTATTTGACGCTTCTCATTGGAACAATGTTTTGCTCTACCCATTTTAACTGTAATAAAATTGTGAAACTTAATAAAATATCGTTTAATTTTAATGAACAAACACTTACCTTAATGTATAAAAAAAATTGATGGTAAAAACAACTTTTAAGGCAATAATAGAAAATAAAGTGTATATTCACTGCTATTATAACGCACAGTTAATAAAGCAAAATTTTATAATTTAATTTAAATTCTGATACATGTATGTATAAACAGCAATATTGCCAACCTCTTTATATATAAAAACCCTAACAGAAAATATTTAGAGAATAAAATATACAAAATTAACCATCAGTAAAAAAATTAAATGTATTTTATAAATAATTTTCTCCCACTGCTATTTTCATGCACATGACTGTATATATATATATTTATAACTTAGTGTAGTATAACATTCATTATCATCACAAAATAGTTTAGGCTATGTTGACATTTTTCAAAAATCACAATTTGTTTAACAATTTGTTTAACCTTTATTTGTCCTAATTCCCCTTTTAATCAAAGATACTTAACTTTTTTTAAACTACAATGTGCAGTGTGGGTCAATTACTTATATTAAATATTATAAATATGGAATTTTTTGAATTGATTCATAAATCACTTTTCTGATTTAATTAAAAATTTTGAGGGCCCCAATACATACATACATGGATGGATACATAAATGTATGTATGTATGTATGTATGTATGTATGTATGTATGTATGTATGTATGTATGTATGTATGTATGTATGTATGTATGTACGTATATATTGTACAATACATAAATGAATAGATACATATGTGTGTGTCTGTAATATATATACATATAATTAATATTTATGTAATATATCTCTTTGTATATGTATATCTCATAAACAATATGTAGTTTCAATAATTAGACTCGGTCAAAAAATACATTTAATTAAGGAAGTAGTGTTATGTCAATAATGTTGTGCTATCTCAACAGTATAGTATTATCTCAACAGTGTAGTATTATCTCAACAGTGTAATGTTATCTCAACAGTGCAGTGTTATCATCTTTACTTTGCTACAGTTAAAATAAAGTATAAGAAACTCATCAACAATATTCAAAATGCAATATTCTATTAATTTTTTAGCTGCTAAAAAATTCATAGAGCTTTGCATCCCAGTTGATGAGTTTCTTATACTTATCTTTTACTGTTTTAAAATCATGTTAACAAAAAAGTCTTGCTTATTTGTAAATTTTTATGGATTTTTGTTAATAATCTTTGATGAAATTTTTAATCAGGGATATGGATAATAAGTTTTTAAGTCACAAAAAAAGTCACAAAAAGATTATTTCTTCCACGTTTTTTGGTATCAAGGAGCTCTAAAAATGTAAAAAGATCATGGAAAACATTTGAGCAAAAAATTAAGACTTTTAGGTTAGAGGAACAACTAATTTTAGAACTCTAGGCTTAAAAACAATAATTTATTAAATTTCATGAATTTTTTTCTTATTGCAGATCAAAAATCACCCAATATTTTTAGTGTTCCTGAAAAACATTTTTAGTGCTCCTGGAAAAACAGAGATATAAAGATGGAGTCTTTTTAGGACCCCCATCTCTGCAAATAATACATTATTTTTAATAAATAATTATGTTATTTAGAAATTCTAATTTCACAACTTAATATTTACATAAGTATAAAAAAAATAGCACATTAAATTTTATTTACATACAAAGCTTCCAGAAAGTATCAGCGCACTCATAATTTTTTTTTTCATAGACATCTTCAAATCAATATAAATTGTAAAGTAATTTTAACTTTGAACTAGTTTTTTTTTAAATGAATGGTAAAACCAATTAAATTTAATTATAATGTCAAATATTTGTCCACCTGCTTTTTTTTTTAATAAGTTAATTAGAAGTTTAATGACTACTTGGAAAAATGTCTGAAATTAGGCGTGCATAAGCGCACTCATTTAAAATGTATAAGCATACTTGTTTAATCCTTTGAGGAAAACTTTTTTTGGCTAATTTTTGTTAAATACTCTCTGATGATTAATAATAGTCAATAAAAAATATAAGAACTATATATTGAAGTGTCGGAAATATCATTAGAAAGTTAAAACTTTAAAACTACACTAACTAAGTGGCAAGTTGTTGGCCTGCACAAAAGTGGTTTCAGCAATCAAGAAATCGGACGTCAACTTGAAATCAGTGAATGCAGAGTTAGAACAAAAACTATAATGAGTTTGGAACAGTTGAAGACAAAAGTCGCTCTGGTCGTCTAAAAAAAAATATCAGAAAGGGACAAAAATCAAACAATTATGCTGGCTAGACGCAACCCGAAAATGAGCAGAGCCAAAATTGCCTCAGAACTAAATACAGCGTTGCGTACACAACAAGTTAGCAGATCAAGAATTAGCAGGCTTAAAAAAACATCTCAATTACCTTGCAACAAAGAAGCCACTACTAAGTATCAAAGACCGTCTTAAGCGAAGAAAATGGTGCAAAGAGAGAGCTGTTTTATCATGTTAAGAATTCAAAAAGGAGGAGGCTCAATTGGCATTTGGGGCTGCATTGCTGGATCTAGCAATGGCCTGGCGCATCTTTACACTGGTTGCCTTAATCAACATCGATATAATGAGATATAAGAATATTATTTAAAGCCATCAAAGGACAGTTTCAAGGCTGACTTCACCTAGCAATTTCAACAAGATAACACTCCTTGCCACACAGCATGCTCAATTAAGCAATACATAAAGGAAAAACAGTTGAATCTAATGCCTTGGCCTGCTCGCTTGCCTGATTTAAATCATATTGAGAATCTTTGGAGTTGGACTGCAAATTACAAAAAAGCAAGCCCACTAACTTGGTACAGCTCAAAACGCAAATACAAGAGTTGTGGAATACCGTGCCACAAGAAATCAAAAAACTTATAGATTCTATGCCGCATAGAGCTTTGGTATGCTTTAAAAACAAAGGGGTCACATAAAATATTAAACTTTCTTAGAATCTTTGAAAAAAACTTTAAGTGCGCTAATACTTTTGTACACTTTTTTAATATTGTTTTTATCACTCTCATAGTATTCTAATTAAATTCAATATAATAATAAAGAAATATTTTTATACATTTAACAATTAGTAAATCTGCTTTATTTTATGAATAAGTTCTTTTATGAAAATTTTATGAATCAAGTACAAAAAAAGATCAAGCAGCCTTTTATTGTTTTTGAATTACACTAATTTGAAGTTCACTGAGGTAAAAAAAAATATATGTTAATACTTTCTGGAAGCACTGTATATTCTATTTGAAGTTCACTGAGGTAAAAAAAATGTGTGTTAATACTTTATGGAAGCACTGTATATTCTATTTGAAGTTTACTGAGGTAAAAAAAATGTATGTGTGTTTCTGTATATTCTATTTAATAATCTAAATCACCCAAGATTTTTTAAGAATTTAAAACATCTAAAACACTTTTGTATTTCAATATTTTATAAAAAGATTTACCTCCTGTGCAACATCCTGGTTAGCAATAGCTTTTAATAATGTATTTTTACTTGTCTCCTGTACTTCTCCACCCAGGATTAGTTCATCCAACACATAATAAGCCTAAACATAATCCAAGTAACACATAAGCGTAAATATTTCAAACACATATGATAACCAATACAATTTGATTCAAATTATTAAAATATAATTTTTCTAATTTTATTTAACAACAAACATAAAATAAGTTTTTAATTGTTTGCATTGTTAGAAGAGTTAATAAGTTATCATAATACAAACAACTTTTTTTGTATTACTTATTAACTCTTAAACTTCTTGGACTTTAACCATAAATTGAAAACACAACAGCTTATTATTCTTTATTTGGTTGATAAACTCTGAATTAATTTTTATATAAGATTATCCATAAAATGGGAGAGCTTCAATAGAATTTAAGTTGTTCTGTGTTTAGTAAAGCATTTCTTAATTCCAGTAGGAAAATTTAAATATATTATTAGCTAAAAACAAAAAAAATAACTTTATTATAAAAAACAATACATACTTTTTCAAAATTGAAAATTATATCAAGTTCACAAACCTAAAAAAAATAATCAGAATTATAAAATATATTGTGTGTGTATGTTTTTGTGTGTGTGACACTCACTGAATTAGTGGATACAGCTTAAATATAGTACTATGACTAACTAAGAACCCCTATACCATTAACTCATATGTTTAGCATTTTATGAAAATTTTAAATTTTGATTTTTTAACAGGTTTTAGTCTATTTTACAAACATAAACAGGGACGAAAAGTCCCAGACTCCAGGGATTACAATTAAATAAATCTAACTTTGAACATTTAAAAATCCAAAAATGTTTATGAACTTCAGAAATCAATAGGTAAAAAAGGACTTTAGGACTTTAGAATTATAGATGTACAAAAGAAAATTAAAAATCACTGGAGTTCCATCTTATATAGGATTTTTTAATTCAAAGAAAATGAAACTATTTTTGAGTAACAAAAGAAAATTCAACATTAAAACTTAAATAAACAAAAACACTATAAAAAGTTGCGCCATTTAAATACATGTACATAAAAACATTCACATACATTTCCAAAGTACTTATCAAGGACTTCAACATAACGATGAATAATTTCTAAAGTAAGTAGTTCATTGTCTCCTGGCTCGCAAGCAACACAGAAAAAAAGACTAGCATATCTAAAAAAAAAATTTGATTCTTAAAATATATTTTAATAAATTTTTAAATAAAAATAGAAAGTACAAGTTTGAAACTTATCAAACACACACAAAAAAAAAAAAATGTAATAAAAAAAAAATTTGTTTCATTTGAAAAAGTATTTAAAAACATTAATACCATTCTATTTGTAATAAAAGTATACTTACCAAACCTCTTATTTTTGTTATTATAATTACTAATACAATCATTATTATTGTCATTATTATATTTAATAGTATTATTGATATTATTATAATCGTCTTCATTTAATTTACATTATTATTATTATATGATTGTTATTATTATTTAATTGGTGATTACCTTAGATTAGTACTCATACTATTAGTAAACAACCATGAAATGTAAATTTTTATTTCAGAATATATATATTGTTATTGTTAACTTAATTTTAAAAGGCTTCAAAATGTAAATAAAATACTTAAACACCTGCATTAAAATACTTATAATGATATATAAAATAAAATATTTAAACAATCTAAAATTTGGGAAATTCTTTTAAATTCTGACCATGCAGCCACAATATTTACAGGCCATTATACTAAAAATGTAAGCATTATACTAAAAATGTAAGCATTATACTAAAAATGTAACCATTATACTAAAAATGTAACTATTATACTAAAAATGTAACCATTATACTAAATATTTAACCATTATACTGTAACAAAATAAGAATGTAATTATTATACTGTAACAAAATGTAAAAATTAAAAAAAAGAAAATATCTAAAATTTAAAATTTTTTTCAGCATAATCTTGTAAAAAAACAACAAAAAAAGAAGTATAAGTAAAAAGAAGTAACTCATAAATCAAATATAAAAAAATGTATCATTCAATATTATGTAAAAAGAATGTGTATTATTCAATATTCGAAACAAATAAAAATTGTTACAAAGTCTAAAATATAATTTATATAATTATAAAAATATATAGTTTTTCAAGCATATATCTTTTTGATTGCTCAGCCTAATACTGAACCAATCATAGATGAATGACAAATCAATCATAGATGAATGACAACTGTCTATTAAAAATACATATAACTTTGAACAACAAAGTAATCATAAAAATATTTGCCTTATAAACTGAAAAATAATTAATTGAATGTTTAAAAAATTGTAAATTTTGCTGTAACCCAAACCACTATAGTTAAACAAATTATTAAAAAGTTTTTTTTAAAGAGATTTTTTAGTGATAAATGTACAGATTAATCTGAACAAGAAATTAATTTACACAATTTATTTATCTATTTTTAATTAATTTACTTTGAAAATTTAAAAATCAAAAAAATTTAATTGAATTTGAAAAACAGAAGTCCTAAAGTCAAGTTTTTATTAATCAAAACATCAGAGAACTCAATTGGATTGAAAAAATCTAATGCAGTTGGATCGAAAAAATATTATAAGTGGAGTAAGCATAAGTCTAGGAGTTTATGCCAGTTAAACCGCATTACTAAAGGAAGGTTGAAATTTAATCATCGACTTGAAAAGTCAAAAGTTCAGATAGTTGAAATGCTTGCAGAACTTAATGGATTAATTTTAAGATTAAACATTGCAAATTACTTTAGTAAATTCTGGTGTGTTTAGCAAATTCTGGTGTGTTTATGGTAATTTCTGGTGTGTTTATGGCAAATGTTTATTATTGGTATAAAACTTAATATTTGCGCAAAAATACGTTAAAAATATTTATAAAAAGGAAGATCAAAAAAACTTTAGAACATTTTTTCTAATTTTTGATCAAAATTATTATTAAAAGTTGAAACTATTATTAAAAGTTTAAGTAAATTTTTTTGCAATAAAAAGTGAGATAAAAAAATTTGGTTTAATAAGTAGAATTAAGTATATGCTTAAATTTTTTTTTGGAAAAAAAAAATATTTTGAACACTAGAATACAGTTAATTCCCGGTAAGTCAAACAGCGGTTAACTTGAACTTTTGTTATCTCGAACTGTTTCATTTGGTCCTGTGAAATTGTCTAACTGATTACTAATAAAATTCTCCGGTTAAGTCGAACATGGGATAACTCAAACTTTGTTAAGTTGAACCATTTTATTGTCCCTTTTATGCAAATTTCTTCGGATAACTCAAACTTTTTGTATGGGAAATAATGAAATCAAAATAACTTGATTAAAATTTTTTTTTAAGAAGTCATTTCATATAAAACATAAAATACTTTAAGGAAGACATTGTATTGCTTTAAGCAAGACATTGTATTGCTTAAAATACTTTAAGGAAGACATTGTATTGCATTATTTTGCTAAACTTTTTTGAATATTAACTTTTAAGTGTACAGCGTGAATACTTGCTTTTTAAACTCAAAGTTGGTAACATGGCAACAATTGCAACTAAGAGAAAGTTGAATACAAAAACTGTTAAAGTCAAATACAATGTACTGAAGGAAGGATTAGATGACATCTCAAAGTCAAAGGTCGCTTTAAAATATTATATACCAAAGAACACCTTATTTACCTGGTTGAGAAACAAGGAAAAAATTTAAAATGCTGTGGAGAAAGGAAACAACTCAAAACGTCAGCGTATGAGGTCATTTCCAAATTTGGATCAAGCTATTTTCAAATGGCTTCTGATTGTTCGTAGCAGAGATGTTACTGCCTCTGCTTTAATTGTCAAAACTAAAACCATGGAATTTGCTGAAAGAATGAACGTTACAAACTTACATTCGTAAGATGGTTGGTTAGACAATTGGAAGAAACGATACAACATATCATTTAAAACAGCTTCTGGTGAAGTTAAAGCGTGTACAAGTGAAACTAGTTTCAATGTGACATTGAAAGTAATGTTTTATCATTACAGGATCTTTCTTGTTACTGTCACATCAGTTCAAAAGATGGCGATATGATTGTAAGATGTATCAATATACATTGTAAAATTAAAAATCCCTTAAGGTAAATGGTTTTCAAACAAAAAGCCTTTTACCTTAAGCAATAATATACATTTAAACAAACATTCTAAAAGTAAAAAAAAAGCTGAGAAAAAAAAAGACGGGCAAAAGTTAACTAAAGCACATAATGAATGAACAATTTTGTCTAATGTTGTATGAAATTCTCCATCTTTAATAAATAAAAAATCAACTAGTATCAAGTCAAAGAGAACAAGACTCTTTCAAAGAGTCTTGTTCTTGTTCAAAGAGTGTTTGTCATATTTTACAATTTCAGGAAGTTTAAAAAAATCTAATTTTCTGGTTGTTTTTTTTTAGTTAGTTTGGATTATATTTTTTTAGTTAATTTTATATATTATAATTAATATTTTATAAAGTTTTATGTGCAATAAATCGCTACCCTGAAATTCAATTAAAAAATTCATTTATAAATTTTATGGTATATTTTTTATTATATTAGCTTTGTTTAGATTTTTATCCTCTCATAATGGCAACATGATTTGAGTCACTTGACCCACAGGAACACTCTATAGAATGTTTCTACTTTTAAAAATATTTTCAAGCAACAAAAAAATAACGATGCCTTTAAAAAAAACATGCCTTTAATAAAAACTTTAACTATTCAAAATGATCTAGATTAAAATTCTCTTGTTCAAATTGATTTCTTTAAAAAAAAAAACCTGAGCATTTTTCAGAACCATTTATCGCTTTAAGTAAAATAAAAATATTTAAAAAAAGTATTGCTTTTTTCATATAATATTCAAAATATCTTGTTAATTAATTTTTAGTTAAAACCATATTATGTGCTAACAACAACAATAACATAAAGTATTTCTATGGCAATATACTCAAAGACTTTTGCAAGTCCTTGAGTATATTAAGTAAACTTAATAAGTTGAATAACATAACTGTAGTAACTTAACTGGTTGTTTTGATTTATTTAACTGGCTTTTTTAATTTTGTTTATAGGTAAATTTACTGTAATGTATTCATCCATTAAGTAAAACAAACTAAATTTAACTTTAAAATAGAAGTTGGATATTATTAGCTTTCACGCAGAGATTTAATGTAATTTAAATTCAAAAATGTTGAATGAAAATCTCCACGCACAAGAGCAAATGATCCTACTTTAATTTAAAAAAATAGATTTAGCATGATATACTTTATGATCACTAATAAAAAACTTTAAAAAAAAAACATTTTATACTTTTAAGAATGACCAAAAAAAAAGCTAAATTAAAAAACAAAAACAAAACAAACTAAATTCTAAAGTATATTAAAAAAAAAAAAAAAATTGTCAAGGTGAAAAAATTGTGATACACTTAACTTGAGCCCTGTATATCTATATATACAGGGTGTGGCAAATTAAGTGTAACTCAATAAATATACTCTCAAATTTTTATTTTTATTACACAAAAGGCTAGCATGGAATTTTATATTCCCTCTTGACAATTTCAAGTCAAGCCTCACTCTTTTTCATGGTTTTCCTCTTCTTGTGCTGCTGCTGTTTCCAATCTCCAAAAAGCAGATGTCTGCCTACAAGTCGTGGACAGGAAAGGCGTGTGATCGCACTCCAATCTTGACTATGTAATTGTTTTTTTTAATGTAATTTTTTTTTTTGAAAGCTTGACCACAACTTTTTAGATAATTAAAAAGTGTCAAATAAAAAACAGAAAAATTAAAAAAAAAAAAAATATTTTTATTTATGTTTAGCAATTATGTTAAATCAATCAATCATTTAATCAATCAATCATTTATTTCTGAATTAAGGCTTTACATTCAAGGATGTTTACAAATAGTAAATATACTAATATAAAGTAAACATGTACTAATGTTAATAATATCTAATTAAGATAAATATAATGATAATTTTCACAATATATAATAACAATAATAAACTTTATAACATAAAATAACGATGTAATATAAATAATGATGTTATAACAATAATAACAATAATAATAATAATATTAACAACAATATTAGTATTAGTAATAATAAAAGTTAAAAGTAGTTATCAATAGTAAATATTAGTAAAAATAACAAAATAACAATAATCAATAAAAA